GTCCAAAATTCCAGATTCTTGACATGACTTGATTGAGATATTGAAATACTTGATTCCAGTGTGATTGACAACCTGTTGGCTTGCCCCGCCGGGTGCTTGCCCAACCCAATGAGCCGCAATTAGAGCCAAAGTGGCCGTCTCACTGCCAATCGCTTATTACACAGTCACTGGCAACACATTAGGGCGACAATTTGTCGCAGGCGAGTGCGACTAAAAATGATCATTGTCCGGCAAAAGGTTCCCAGTCCGGTGGCGGCTTAGTCACTGGCTTGTGGGTCAGGCCTAGATGGCGACATCGAACAATGATGATGGATATGAATGGTGAATGGCCAAATCATCGCCGGCGTTTGCGGGGACAGCCTCTGTCTCAGCATCAGCCTCTGGCCCAAATCATGGGCACTGTAAGTTTCAGCTCATTTGTCCGGCTCTCTGGACCCCGACCGACTTTATGGCGCATAATGAAGCGTTAAAATGTAACGCGCAACAGCAGCAGCAGCATCAGCAACAGCAGCAACAACAGCGGCCACAAACAACAATTACAAATGCCGCTTTACACTTGCCGCTGCTGACGGAAGCATTTTTGTGGGTTTTTAGGGAAAGCATTTGGTGGCGGTGGCGAGCGCGTGTGAACCAAAGAAAGCGAAAAAGGGTCAGCATTTGGCCAAGAGTTGGGATGCTGGTGGTGCTGCTTCCACTGCTGTTGTGGCTTACGCAAACTGACCAAAGCCAGATTTATGTAATGGCAAATACAATACGTTTTTAGCTGCCGTATTTGCTGGTCCAAAGTCCACATAGCAGCTGACAGCTTGCCGAGAAGAGACAGCTTGGCAGAAAAATAAAGCTAAAATTCTGGCCATCATCACCGTGAATCGGCACAATTCGATTTGGGGATTACACAAGCTGCGAAGTTAGCCCAGCAGCTGTGAATCATTATTCGCCAAATATTGGCCAACCTTTTGCAGATCCACACACAAAGCCCAACCACCAATTCAGTGTTAGAATGTATGCATTTATAATAATCATATGGAAGATTTGTTGAATTTTTACAAATACCGGTTTCCGTTTGTTTTGTCCTTGTTCTCTATGCCGCGTTTTATTTAATTTGCTTTGCCAAAAACAAAGTTCAACAAACCGCCTGAAAAGTATAATTTGAGATTTGCTCAGAGCTTACAGATGGCCAGTTAATTTTGTTTACGTCCCAGCCTCAATTCTCCGAAGACCACCCAGATGAACATTATTTTTATTGCAATCACAGCTTCACATACATTTCACTCTAAACGATGTCGCTGAGTACTTGTGGGGTTTTCGTATTCAAAACAACGCCAGGAACTTAACTAATGTGATAGATGGAATCGCCTCATTAATGCAGCTCTGCTGCTGCGCACTACTTGAAAAACCATCAGCAGCGATGACTGTCGAAGTTTGGCCCCCACGCCCACGCCCGCGCACTTGTTGCTGCTGGTGCGGCAGGTTCGTGTCTTAAGTCTTTTGTTTCCGCTTCGATAAAAATCATGAAAACAAGAAACTGCTTGCCAGCTTAGACTTGACAAATTACGGCTTCGCATGATAGATCGAATTATGACAGATCATTGGATAAACTGATTGTCGGCGTCCACACAAAGCCCGCCAATTATTAATGAAATTCCTTTTGGTTCCGGAATCGGCTTGAACTTCCTCCTGCCACTTGTTGGTCTGTCAACTGGTTGTTAAGGCCATAAATGGCGGTTCTAAAACTAGAGCACCTCCCAGCCCCCCTTCCGAAACATGTGTACGAGTATATAGAAAGCCATGCAGTCGGAAATGCAGTCGACATAAACTGACGGAATTTTCGGACCCCGCCGAGCTAAACAAAAATGCCGGCACAGACCGACAATTAAACTTAATTGCGCTTAGTGGTCGTCTATAGCTGCGACTTTGACTCCGCCAGCAAGTGCACTATAATGCGTGTTAAGTATATACTATTTTCATCTTAATGGATCTCACCCAGATAGTGTGAGAAAACGGGTTTTATGACGCTCATCGCAAGTAATTTTCCTTAATCAAATGGCATAAAATATGTGAAATTAAAACACCAGCCGCTGTCCTACGTCATTTGGCCAGGAAGAGTGCAATGCAAATTGCTTGATAAGTACTATACTATACCTGGCTAATGGAGGCTTTTAATCGGTCAAATTTTCACTTGATTTACACCTACGCCTCGTACTTTTCACATGCGAGAAAGCTTGAAAATTACCTAAAAAATGCTGTAGCACCGGAAGCAGCTGAAAACGTAGAAGATCGTGAGATACCCTATACATCGTGCAATAACTTTAATAAATATGAGAAATGAGTGTTTGAAATCCACCCATTTCATATTTAATATATATTTTACCTTAATGACTTAACACATTCCCGAGTGGCAACTTAAAAGCTTACGGAAGTTTCAGAGAACATAATTTATGTGGCGTATGTGATGTAATTTGTTGAAAGTTATCACCACTTATGCCTTTTGTAATTTTCCCTTCCTTTCGGTTAGAGTATCCAAAGATTGGTCTTTGTACTTTGGCGGGTCTTCCCCTCCTTCCTCAAATTCAATTAACTAGCACGCACCTAAAAAAGTGAAAATCTTTGCTAGAGACTCTCTCGGAAAGTGAATCTTAATTAGATGCAATCAGCGGTGATATTGTTGAGATGCGATGCTGTCTCTTCCGGGCTTTTGTGCCCCCCTTAACAGTGGCGGCAATTTTATTTCTGGGCCAGCCCTGAATCTGAGTCTGAATCATCGTTACGGCCATACATCATTGACAAAGTCCATCCTAAGTCGCTTCACTGGCTGCCATCGAGAGTATTCCCAAATTACGTCAGATGTGTAATAGAAAATTTTGCCAGTCATTTGACTGAGAGACATGAAGTCCGATCGCTGGAGTGGCTGATATTTCAATAAATCTTGCAACACGGCTACCATGCGTCAGAAAGATGAAATTGTTTGGCTTGGACAGCTTGGACAGTTCTCCCCCGAAACTAGCAATTACACATTGCTAGCCACACCCACACCCAGTCGGTCAGTAAGTTCACCTGGCGGCAGCCTTATGACAGACTCGGTTCATTAATGACCAAACGACATGACGACGAGGCTTTCAGCGCTCGATCAGCGTACTTCTCGAACCTCCACCTCCAGCTCCTCAACCTCCGCCACCTGGCTCTGCCGATGATGATGGCTGACGTACTTAGCTGGCCAGGCGACAAATGAGCATTGTATTCTCGCAACTTCCCCCATCCACCTGTTTGGCTGTCTATGTCTTGTTGGTGCTGCAGTTGCACGGGATGCCCGACAGCCAAGAATGATGGATGAGCTGGTGGTGGCCAGAGGCGTAGTTAGGACAGCTGGGTGCTTAGACTCGCGTTTGCGTGTTATGCAAAATATAAACGCTTTAGGTAAACTAACCAAGAATTAGACTTAGACAAGATAGCAGCTATTGGTCGCTCGTTTTTCAGTTTTCCGCAACTCTTACAAAGTAGCAGAGCAAGGCTCTTGGACTCTCTAATTTGCAGACCAAATTACATACAATTGAGACTGCATAACTCGAGTATTAAAACGCCCCGCAAGTCAATGCACAAGGCGGTTTTAAATTTCTATAATTATTTTATAATAAGTCAATAAACTTTATTGGATGTGGCTAGCGTGAAGGAAATTGTTTTTAGAATTTAATGGCTGGAAAACGGTACCAAACTGCTTAAATATTTTATGAAAATAATTAACTGGCCTTTGTGATTTCTTTTCTTGAGCCTTAGATGTTTTGTTAAACTTAAAGTTAAGCCTTGATAACCATGCTCTGAATTCCATTTCCGCTGAACTGCAAAAGAGATTCCATAAGGAAATGAAATTTAGAACAAGGCTCTATAATTACATTTTTGTTTTGACAAATTAAAACAATAAAATTTTAATAGCCAGCACTTTTCTAGTTTTGCACTGTTTGAAATATTTCCTTAATTACAGACCAAAGCCAAGCAAGAAAAAGAGCTAATTACTACCAAATGGGCTTAGATTTTTCCTTAATTATAATCGAAAAAGTGAACTTAAAGTTGTAATTCAATAAATGAGTTATGCTGGTATCGATTTAATTGACATATCAAATGCAGCTTTCAAAATCGCGGATTTCCCTTGACATTCCGCCGTCCACACATACGCCCCTGATTCGTTCAAATCAATTAAGTTAACCCTAACCCCTCCGTGGAAACGGCTTCAGCCCCCGCTGCAATTAAGAGTAGCGTTGTTTTCTTTAATTGCCGCCAGTCAGGTATTTAACTATTTAAGCGACGATTAACACTGGCGGAACTGGTTTAGCTTTTCCTGGCATCCCCCCTCTGGACTTCCCCCTCGCCGTGCTTCCCCTCTTAACTTCTATGTCAGTCAGCCAGTCAGTCAGTCGGTCAGGCTGTCGTCCAATCATTTCTAGATTGTTTTGTTTTGTTATTTATCACATGGACATGGACATAGACTAAGAGGCCATTGGAGATTGCAACATCTCAGGCAGCCAGCCGGCTGCACCAGTTTTTCTGCTTGATTTTACTTTTTGGTTTTGGATTTCTATATATTTTTGCGGCTGGCATCGTCGAGTGCTAATCGACAATGGGAAATTACTGCGCACAAATATTATAGAAAATCATGGTTTGTCGGTTAATGGAGAGCTCCATACGGAAATTCGCGCAGAATGTTGTTTCGGCTTTTCGGTTTCCTTTGTTTTCTGTCCATTGCAGCAAGTGTGATTGATTTGCGCAGAGAGGGAACGTTTAATTAAAACCAAAATCCAAAAGGTAACGGGCCAATATTCATAATCAATCAGTTGTCCGCCTTTTTGAACTTAACTGACTCGAATTTGCCTGAAACGGCAGTTTTGCAATAACCAACTGAAAATTTATTGATTTGACACTTGATCTCGCTAAATGGGTAAATGGTGATTGAACACTCCCAGTTGGCACACATGACTAATCTGTTATCTTTCTGGTCTTTGCACTTGCAGGATTACCTCACAATGTTCTACGACGGCTGGCGGGATCTGATGGACAACAAATCGGATCCGCGAACACGAGACTACCCGCTCATGAGCTCCCCGTTCCCCACGATAGCCATCAGTCTGACATACGCTTATATCGTGAAGGTAAGTGGTTCGGGATTGGGGAATCACCGACTCCGATCCATAATTATTGAAGTGGGGACAGACGATGTAGAATCGAACAAAAAAATGGACAGAACAACATCATTCCGATGGGGGCAATTTACGCTGATTTCGTAGACCATAACTGGCAGATTCTCATCTGATGATTATGCGGATCCTTTTCGCAAACTAGTTTCCCTTTATTGCATTGCAAAATGACTGTGAAACCCGAGCTAGGGGTTCAGGGCCATCCAATTTGTGCGACGATCGTCGCCAAGAGCTGGTGTCGAAAGGTGACCCAAGAGCATCGTCGACGGCGATTATGCAAAATTTAAAAAATCAATTCGAAAAACGATTTCTATTTAGGTTTCATTTTTAATTTTACAAAAGCATTTAACTTACTTTCACATGTCTGCTAAAATAGATCGGTGGCGGAGGGATGGAGCGGGGTGGAGCTGCGGTTGGCCAAACAAAAGACTTAGGCAACGAACTTGTCACAAAACCAACAGACAAAGTCGGTCGCGTCGATTGATTTGATTTGATAATTGCTGCAACAGGCTTTGGCATCTGTTTGAATATGTTAAATGACACGCGAAGACAACGTCGAGGGTTAGGGCTTAAGATTTGAGATACGATGAAGAGGATGCTCTTACAGTGGAACTTACTGATCTATGCTTTGTTCCAGGTACTCGGACCCAAGCTCATGGAGAACCGAAAGCCTTTCGAGCTACGCAAAGTCTTGATCGTCTACAATGCAGCGCAGGTTATCTTCAGTGCCTGGCTCTTTTACGAGGTAATATAAAATATACCTATTAAGTTAATTCCACTGAAAAATAACCACTTTTCATTTATAGTCCTGCATAGGTGGATGGCTGAACGGCTATAACTTGCGATGCGAACCCGTTAATTATTCCTACTCACCCAAAGCGATTCGTGTAAGTATAAATGGAAGCTCTTATATACTGATCTTGGCAAATATATACATAGCCAAACATGGGGCTATAAATTCTGATTTTTGCTTATGCTTGGCAAATAGCAAAGTTCTTTTGTTGACTGGGCTAGATTTTATGTAAGCAACCAGTTTTTAGCCACCAAGAGACCAGAAATTAGAAAAAAAGCGGCACTGGCGACAGGTTCTCTTATGCTAATCACAAAGAAATGGATGCCGAAAGCCGGCCGGCTGTGTGGCCAGTGGCCGGTGGATTGTGCGGATCGAGGAATCTCACGTGTGTCGCCAGGCTGGCTAATCTGGGTAAATGACCCAAAGAAAGTGGCAGTCTTAGAAAGTTGACAGGCGAAAGATTTGGCAAATCACCCATTTTTCGTTATTGATAAGCATGAGGTTTGTCCAACCGTTAGTTCCAGGGCAAACGGAATCGATCTGGTCAAGCTGCGACCGTATTTTTGCATAACAATCAACGCTTGGAATATTGGATATGAATGAGCACAGATATTAGTTTTGATTAGAATTTATAGATAAATTGTGAGAGAAAATGAAATTCTGAAGCAACTCATATTGCGATAGAATTGTTATTTTTAGACTGTACACAATCAGAAGGAACTATTGAACACTAGAAAAATGATATTGAAATTTGCAGACGAATATATCTCTTGCTCTCTCTATGCCCTTCCCAAACTACATAAACCTCAATACGGTTTGATCTTAGATTTAGTAACCATTAAAAATGGGTTACGAAACAGCACTTTGACTTTTCTTGGAATTGCATTACAAGCAAGAAGAACCCTTTTTTTCTCATAACGAATTATAATTATTTAACTATTTCTTCATTTTATTTTACAGACCGCTGAGGGATGCTGGTGGTACTACTTCTCCAAGTTCACCGAGTTCTTCGACACCTTCTTCTTCGTGATGCGCAAGCGGTATGATCAGGTGTCCACCCTGCACGTGATCCACCATGGAATCATGCCCGTGTCCGTCTGGTGGGGCGTCAAATTCACCCCCGGCGGTCACTCGACCTTCTTCGGCTTCCTGAACACCTTCGTGCACATCTTCATGTACGCCTACTACATGCTGGCCGCGATGGGTCCCAAGGTCCAGAAGTACCTGTGGTGGAAGAAGTACTTGACCGTGATGCAGATGATCCAGTTCGTCCTGGTTATGGTGCACTCCTTCCAGTTGTTCTTCAAGAACGACTGCAACTACCCGATCGGCTTTGCCTACTTCATCGGAGCCCATGCTGTGATGTTCTACTTCCTCTTCTCAAACTTCTACAAGCGTGCCTATGTGAAGCGCGATGGCAAGGTAAGAGGAAGGATATTCCAAATATTTAATACTTTCATCAATTTAAACTTAAATTCGTTCTTAGTTTGGTCATTTATGTGTTGATTTCTCTTTTATGAACAAATTTAATGAAATTAAATACTTTTTATTTTCCAGGACAAGCCAGCTGTGAAGGCCAATGGACATGCCAACGGACACGTCAAGGCGCTGAAGGACGGCGATGTGGCGCCCACCAGCAACGGCCAGGCCAACGGCTTCCACAACACCTTCTCGAAGTTCACCACGGACATGTGCAATCCGGCCCTGAACTCCTCGACAGCGAGACAGCGCGTGCTCGTGAACGCCGGCAACAAGTGAGCCCAGCCAGCCAACCAGCCAGCCAGCCAAACATGAAACACACATAAGCATAAATTAATTACGCTACCAATTAAATTACCGTACATTTAAATTAAACGTAAGCATAGGGAGTCCAAGCCTACATCTAAGCCAAATCGAATTCGCATCAATATCAATTAAAGACAAGGAAACAAAAACATTATTTCATGGACAATCCGTGGTAATCGCACGTAGGGATCACACATCGCTGGCAAACTGCTCAGTCTGCCGATCGTTTCTCAAAACTAAATTTATATCTATATCCATATATCTATAGCCCAAAATACTTTCCGCATCCCGTCATCCATGTGCATGTACATAGATCGTTCATAGCTGATGAGAATTTTAGTGGTACTCGTGGCGAGTACGGCGTTCATCTTATTTTAATACCCTAAACTCCATCCTTGTTGGGGATGAGGCAATGGTCACTTAAGATTCCATTGTGCGTCCTTCACGGTTATCCGCTTTACATATCTATCGCTCTATAATTTGTATTTCTGGTTATGCAAGCGACGCTTTTTAATACGTGTATATTATTTCTATGGATTGTTTTGAACATAAGAAATGTGTTTTTATTTTATAAATAAATTCGAGATTAAAACCTAGAGAACAAGCTGCCGTTTTTTTTGTTGTTCTGGTAATTATTGTTTTTTGAGTCTGACTAATTATATTTCTTGATTTTGACTTAGCTAATATTGGTATGTCTCTAGTATCCCTCAAGGATGGTTAAATACCAAATTGCTCCCTCTTATTGTTCAGTTGAAGATTTGTTCGGTTACGTCCCATCTTTTCTCATCCTATAAGATAGCAATTCATCTTGGTGATCTTTGTTATCACCCCACCTTGTGGTCGTTGGCAGTACTTACTTAAATTTTACAACCACTTTACATCTACCATTTTTATGTTAAAAATAGAAGAATACTTTTGGGCTCTAAAGTCTTTGTAAAATATTTTAATTCTAAAATATTGACCAAGCTCAAGGGAGAAAGTTTTAATTTCATAATTTCATTCTTTTATAATGTGTTTATATAAAGTATTTTAAAATATTTGGAGAAAGGGTCTATGAAAAATATTTTTAACATTCGGAGAGGAATTTATTTTAACGAAAAGGCCATGTGAGCATATTGGGTTCGCCCTTATGATCCGCGAGTAGTTTAATATTATATATATATGTTATTACTTGGTTACATCCAACTTGTGTCGAAGGTAGGATTCCATTTCTCGTGAGATACTTTTTATTATAAATTATATAATTGGTCCGATTCCTATGGATCTCTTTGACTGTCCTCAACACTAATAATGTCTTGGAATAAATTTCCAATCTTTAAAATGCTGCGAGGTATTAAACCGCCGAGCTACTTGAAATAGCAAAACACAGTTGGCAATGTTTACGTTTATTTCGTTCAGCCCAAAAGGTATTTGACCTTGCAATGGGCCCATTCCATTCACTTGCCACGCCCACATAAGAAGACAAAAACCCAAGTTAAATTATTACAGAAATAGTAGGCATGTCAAGTCATTACGGTTAATGAGAAGATTTATGGGCACACACGAAGTTCTCGCAAAAAAACGAACCATAAGAATCTCGAATGTACACTCAATTTATGCAAATTATTTACCAATACTTTGTTGGGAGTGAGCAGGAGCAGTAAGACAGGATCACGGACACGACGCCATGCATAATTATTTCATTAGGAGCTAATGAACTGTTTCCGATCGATGCATATTACCTAGGGCTCGAACGGAGGTAGGGTATGATCTTCGAGTTCTGAGAAGCGGTTCCTTTCAAAGCTGTTATTATCACATTTCCAATCAAAATACTCTGCTTTATATGGCTAATTCTTACTAACTAAACTAAGAAAATAGGGAAGATAACCATAAAAACAACTGTTAACTTCTTGTTAATTTAAATTAGATTAAACCATAAGCGGAAAATATTAGCAAAGCGAATAGCATCACGAAACGAATATCAATCATAGTTGAGGAGAAAACCTGGAAAGATGGTAAAGCAGCTTAAAAAGTTATTAATTACCCTTTTGGTATCCTGCTTTCTACTATTTATTTTTACCAACGTTGTTGAGACTCGAAAATCACATCTCAAAGGTCACTACAGAACTTTGCCTAACCGTAAAAATCATATAGCCTTGAGACCCAGAACTAATGGCACGCATCACCAACTTCAATTAGGTGATATTACGGATAAGTTTTACAGTCACTGCAATGACACTTTCAGAGAGAAGAATCTGGTTACTTACGTGGTTCATGACATGATCGCCGGAATTCTAGACCGACTTAATGAGATGTGCTTAAATCAACCCATCCACCCACTTATCCATCGAATGTTCACCGAAACTCTGCTGTGTGGTGGAAGTCTTTCGGAAGCCATTGACGTCATAATTGACATTATATTTGGGCAAAGTGAAAGAAAGTGCAGGGATAGGCATGGATTCGAAGGCCTTTATGTTTTAACCAGTGCCGAGAACGAAGTCGTGGAAGTAAAACATTTACGTTAAACCAGAATATCGATTGAGAGAATAAATAATATTGCATGAAATGAAGTTTCAAAACTTTTAAATTCAGATAGTAAATACATTTGACATTTATAAAATAATTATTAAACTTTTTACAATGCTATGTTTTAGGAACTTTAAAAACCGTGAAATATCCAGATACCAAAGTCAATCAAATTCCATTTCGATTCCTTCAATTTAAGCCGTTATAAAGTTGCTGGACTATTCGTTCTTCTCGGTGGCAAACAATTCCGTGCCGGGATTCAAGTTTTTCAGGAAGTTTAGGGATCTAGCAAAGCGATCGCCGGCTTCATCCACACTGGGCAGAACGGCCTCCACAAGAATTGGCACCACTTGCTCGCCTATGGATTGAAAAAGCTCAGCGATCTTGATTATGGTGGCCGGATCTGGCAAACCTGGAATGGCCGCTCGAGCCGATGGTGCATTGTCCGTGATCAGCTCCCGCCGCCTGCGTCTGTTTTCCTCCGAATCCTCAACTGTTTCTTCAGAGGAGGAGTCATCGTCATCGCCATCGCCATCTCCTTCCTGTTTGATCACCACCTCTGTCTCCTCGTTGGCAACCGTGATTACATCCTGTTGATTAATGAATGACCGGATTATTTACATTCAAATTGATTATCCTCGTTAATCACCTGTGGCCTGGCCTGCGTTTGGGTCACCACTTGAAGCATCACCAGCAGGAATCCGGAGAGCAGCAGCTGTCGTCCCATGTGGAAGCCCATTTTGTTAACTTGAATGTGCTTATGCACCCACCTTGTGCCATATATATACCTCCCATTTAATAGGCTAATGACACTTGCATGTCGATAAATCGGCTAATGCAACGGTAATGCAGGGTAATGCAGAAATTGATCAATTTCTGTGTGGCCCAGCTACACCAATTTAAGTTCTAGCCGGCAACCTTGTGGAGTCGGCAGACTCTTCAAACACCCGGCAACGCAGCATATTTTGGCCAGGAATGCGCCGACGAGTGCACTTTTTCTTTGTTGGTCCGATCGCTGGCCAAGAAACCCGATCCACCAACTTTTGGCTTTTCGTCAGGCGAGAGAGAGAGCTCAGGTAAGCTTGAGCGCAGACAGGTAGTTTTTGGGCCCGGCTCAATCGCCGCAGGCCATAAATCGTACTTACGCACACGGAACGCGTTTCGTTCACAAGTATAATTAAATCAAATTCGAGGAGCGATTCCGATCGGGGCTGTGCCTCTGGGAGCAATGCACAAGCCAGCCAGCAAGCCAGCGCAAAACTGCAACTTTAGTTGCGAATCAGACCTCTATTCGGACAGGTCACAGTGAAATATAGAAAAAAGTGGCAATACATTTCAGAAAGTGTTAATTGTTTATTGCAAAAAGGTTAAACAAATATTTTTAAAAATGATTTAAAAAATTTCTTTAAAATAAATAAATAAGAAAATAAATTAATAACTTAATTGGCATAGTTCTCAATAGTTGACAAGCTACAACCTTTTTTTTATTAAGCCAAGATTTACAACATTTTTCTTAATTTCTAAAGCTGTTCTAATTTATTTGCAGAATTATATTTATAGAATCCAAGAAAACTCAGGAAAAACCACTGCCATGAACCTGTTTTCTCGACTTAAACGCTTAGGTGGAGGTGCCAGCAAGGTAAGTGATAAATTTAAAATTATTTCCTCATCATAATAACCAATTATATTACAGAACTCTGTCACACTTCCAGTTACTGGTAAGTTTATCTTAACAACGAATTCAAATATCCCGCGACTGAGTGTTGCAGCAACTAACTTTTTTAAGACTACTAGAAAATGGGCTAAAATATAGTATGACCGTTCAGATATATTTGCAATAAGGCCGTATTGTCATAAAATATTTGACATCCCACACAATCGCATCATTTGTACAGAATTTTTCAACGCGTTCATCTCGCTTATTTTTTGGTGTTCTATTTTAGGCGTGTCAGATAGTACAATCAACGCAGCTGCAGCTGAAAACCCAGTTGATACCACGGAAGTCTATAAAACTATAGCAGAAGATAAATTTCTGGCAGTCAGTTCGAGCCCCGAAAAAGGTAATTAAACAAAGAAATTGTATTGTAGAAGTGGGGGAAATTGTATGGCTGACGTAACAATGCATTGAATTTTCACTGGAGACGCATGAAAAAATGTATCTAAGTATCTATATTTAAAAATTGGCATATATATAGCCTTAATTTGTATATGCCTCGGGTTTCCTATGGGTGTGTGAGTAAGCCTTATCAATGCAGATAAGAAAGGTATACAGAAAGAGAAAGATATTGATTTTGTGCGGAGCCACAGGTCAATTTTCTTATGTGGCGCATGCTATCTTTCCCGTGACGTCAACAAGATATTCATTAGGAAAACACAAATGAAAATCGTTCCCCTTCTCTTTTCAACAATATGAAATGTGACTTCTGATTTCAACTTAACCTACCAAAGCTTGCTCAGTTCTGCAGAGAAAGTCTCGAAGCTGAGCTTTCCGAGTTCCAGCTAAATTGAAACTGATTAGCGCCAATTAATTTAATTCATATTCAAAAGATCACAACTTTAATAATTCATTTTTCAGTCGACATGGCCCAAGATGAGAAAGTGGCCTCCGCCGATGGAGCCGACGAGCAAATGCTAGGCTCTAACGGAGTGGAAGACAAGCTGGCCGAGCGTCGGGATGAGGTGAAGTTTATCAAAGGCGATCATCAGAATGGAGATGCCAAGATCGACATCGGAACAGTCAATGGAGGCGGCAAGCCTGTAAGTCTTTAAAATTGCAATATATTTTAAAATTGGTTTTATTTTGAGATCCAGATACATATATCCTAAATTGTTATCAATTATTTAAAAACTCATTCGAAGTAGATAAGAAATATTACCTTCCGAAAGGCGCTGTAGTATTTTTATAAACTTTTGAGTTATATAAATTTTGAGAAACATTCGGTTTATGAGTTCGTTTTCCGGTCGTCGACCTTGTATTAACCTTCAAAAATGTACAAGCTTTCTTTTGAATATGTGTTAACTCAGCAATTATTTCATTTTATTTCTACAATTTCTGATCTTGAATTAAATGTTTATCATTTAAATATTCACTTGGGAAAGCTCTCATCATTAACTAGTAGTTTTTTCAATTTTAGTATCACCTTCTACTTCGGATGTTTTGAATATCTGACATTTTAATTTGCTAATAATCCGCTTAATCATTTACAGGCTTTCACTGGCATGAGCAAGGAGGAGCTCATGAAGTATGCGAACGACCCATTCTGGGTGCGCCTCCGATGGATCTTCTTCGTGTGTTTCTGGGCCATTTGGGTGGGTATGCTGGTTGGTGCCATTTTGATTATCATTGGAGCACCAAAATGTGCTGCCCCGCAACCGTTACCATGGTACAAGCGCGGACCACATGCTAAGTTCGCCACTGTTGATACCTGCAAGCCAGAAGATGTCCAAGTTGCCAAGAAGATCGTTTCGGCTGGAGCCATCTATGAGTTGCCAGCTGATCTGACCTACGAAGTAAAGAAGCCCGAGGTGGAGGAGCAGATCAAGCATCTTGTGGCCTTGTACCAGGGCAGCGACACCAGAGTTATTCTCGATATAACGCCCAACTACGTGGCCAAGGAATCGCAGCTGGTGCAGGATGCCATTGCAAACCCCGAGAAGCGTTCCGCCTTCGCTTGGGTGACCGATGGAAGCAACTTACCCAACAACTGGCTCAAGGTGGGCGGCAATCGCACAGCCTGGGAGAAGGTTGGGGACAGTTATGTGCTCTCCCAGTTTCAAGATGGACACTACGACCTTAAGATGAACAGTACCATTATTAGGAAAGAATTATCAGGAGTCTTGAAGCATCTGGTGTCATTGGGCGTACGTGGCTTCCGTCTGAAAAATACCAAGTTCTTTTTGCTGTCCGACGGTCTGGACAGTGAGGTGAACTCGGCGGTTTCAAAGGACTTTAGTCTGGGACAAAGTGACTACGGTTTCTACAACCACAAGCAGACCACTTTCCAATCCGGCCTGGGCGATGTACTCTATGATTACTTGAGTATCGTAAAGAACGCCTCTGATGAGGCTTTCTTCTCGGTTGCCGATGATGTTATTCAGCCACAGGTCTACCAGTTGAGCGAGGTTCCCGGAGCATATGGCATCGATCTCCCCATTTACGGAGACTTTGTCAAGGTGCTCAGCAAATCAAAGCCGCACAAATCGCTGCAGAAGGATCTGAAGAACACACTTTCCCAATCCGGCAACAACAGCTGGCTGCAGTGGAACTTAGCGGACATCTATGTGGACACCCCGCAAGATCCATCTGCTTTAGTCATGTTCATATCCCTACTGCCTGGTGTGCCCGTGGTTCCTGTAGATGCTGTGGCCTACCAAAATGTCACCGAGGAGAGCTTCAGGCAGATTACTGCTCTGCGAAAGACAGCATCCTACATGCATGGAGAACTCAATATCTACTATGCCGATCCGTTGGTGGCCTTCTCCAGGTAAAGCCAAAGCTTAAATGTCTTATTGCAATTTGTTAATAACTTCAATCCATTTCTCCATGCTTGCCACTTGAAGGCAGAGGTAAAAAGATTAACCAAAAAAATAATAGCCCTTATTTCAGAATTGAGATTTCTGTTTTTAGGAATTCTAACTATTATTTTAACAGTTTTAGAATCTTGAATCAAATATTGTTTTTTAGTTCAGCTGTCTGGTTATATAAATGATCTAACTTAACTTTTTTTCTTATGCAGAATCAAGTCTGGAAATCCTGGCTACCTTGTCATCTTCAATCCCACCGACTTGCCTCAGCCAAGCAACTTTACTACACCGAAGGATATTCCCGACAAGATGACAGTGTCCTATTTCAGCGAGAAGTACAACGACGACATCCCAAATGCCCACAAGGTGGCTCACGCGGGCAGGGTTAATCCAAAGAATCTCCAGGTGGCACCACACTCCAGCATTATCCTGACCTATGTGCCAATAAAGGATGATTAAAGTGGCCGTATTGGCAGAAACAGCAAAAATATATAATAGTGCATAAAGGCATTTATACAGATAATGTATAAAAGAAATAAATTGCTTTGCTTACCGTTGAGATTTGTAGCCGCCAAACAAAATTAAAAAGTTATTTGTTAAGAACTTTTCGGAGTTCCGTGCTTGTTCAAGAGATTGCTTAAAAATAAATACAATATTTGCTTGCATTTAAAAGTTCTGAGTTTTTCCATTTATGTATACAACTTACAATGGTTATACAAAGGTGAGTAAATAAGTTAACATATATTTAAATTGAAATGATATTCCTAATAACAAAGTCTGGCAACAATAGTCAGCCAAATGTCAGCATCTAACATCTGGTAACTTTAAGGCTCAACAGTATGGCAACGTCGTTTAACGATAAATTCAAATTCAAACTAGTTATGTGGACCACTAATATTATAGCTTACCTTTCTCCAATGCGGGTTTTCTAAACAAAGTTAATCAAGCTGCATTTTTCACTTTTAAATTTTCAAATATTTCCTATTCAAATTTAATTCCATATACCCAAGAATCGTAATTATTTAGCCTTTGTGGAAAAGTTTGAAGTGCTCAAAGAAAAAGAGCTCGGCGTATGCATGTGGCATACGTGTGTGGGCCAACTTTGAGATACAAATAGTTTTGGGCGAGCTGGCAAAAACAAAAGTCTGTACGGGCAGCCACAGACAAATAATCAAAATCGACAAACGAAATGAGCCAAAAACAAAGCGGCCAAAATGTTTTTAGTTTGCACAGCTCTTCGACTCCGAATGGCAGCCTGGGGAGCAAGGACTCCTGCCCCATTCCGCTACTACTGGTTGTGGCACCACCGAAAGGCCAAAAGGATATGCACACGTGCTAATGTGATTAGATACACAAACACCAGGATGCTGGAAAAGGCGACTTGTTCGAGGAACCGCAACATGCAGTGCAGTTGATTGCGGTAAGCCAGCAACAATAATAAGAAAACTCGACGACCGAGAAGAACAACTTCATTTTGGGTATCTCTGAGATGCAAACTATTGTTGCGCAGCTCCTCATCATCATCCATATCATCATCAACTGGGAGCTGGGAACAAACTTCTGGACTGCCTTTGATCCCCTTCTTTTCGCACACATTGAATCCACCCTTCAACCCACAAATTTGGAGAGCTGGCCTTGTGCGCTGCGAAATTATTTTGTCGCTACAACTTTTCCATCAGGCAGTCATCAAATGCAGCAGTCACCCTTCAGGACAGGTCATCTCAGGCTAGCCACTGATTTAATTGCAATGTGCAACACATCTGCTGCGATGTCACCGAGATTGAGGGCGAGCGGAATGGTCAGGAAAACTGATTTTGAATAAAGTTTTCACTTACGTCCTGGCAACGTCCTTGTGAATAGTAAACTGGTTAATTGTTTTCACTAAAATAGGTTGAAAGTTGGAAATCTGCTATGTGTTATATTGTTAATATAAACCAGGCTTTAAGGTCAATCATGTTTTGTATTGTATGCAACCAAATTACATATTGCTCATATTTACATAAATTAAGTAAGTAAGTAAGGTTTATACTAAATATTGTATTAAAATAGTAGCGGGTATCTTAAAGCCAAGAACCTTGACTATGGCGTTCTTAAATATAACACATGTATTTGCTTTAATGATCTGTAGTAATAAACCCAAAGCGAAATAAAATATTCGAACATAATAGCTTCTGTCACGATCTGCATACATCTCATTTATTTAATTTATTATGAAAAACAAAGAATCATGAATGTTAATGGCATGTTTTATGTTGCATGTTTCCCCTTAATTGCTTTAAAAATTGGTGTATCTTAAGTGCTTACTTTGTGTTGCAGTTAATGCAAATTTTGATAATTAAATTAAATATACCCTTTAGAATAAATATTTTAATAAAAAAATACAATGTAGTGTAAATGGTCACAGGTACTTTGAGCGGAATGAAAGACCCCTTAGCCCATTTAATAGGTGTCATAGATAGCAAGCTTAAGCTTCCTTTGAGGGGTTTACATCGGCTTATGGGGCACAACGCACCACGCACTTGCAACAACTCTACTCGATGGAAGGAAAAAACCAACAACAAAATGAGTCGGCTAATTTGTATTGATTTTTTATCGGACATGCGATCTCCCTACTTTTTTAGCTCTATGTCGTTGCCGCGTTTGTTTGTTTCTGTGTTTGTTTTGAACTTTCCCATGCATAAATTTTGCATATTAATTGAGCGACTGTCATCAATATGTCTGTGCCAAGCCTGGGAAGTCCCCCAACCCAGCACTCTGCATCCAAACCCACTTTATCCTCATCACAACATGGCATCATTAGTTGGCCTAAAAAATCCCATCAGGCTTTGATTAACATTTTGTGCACACAAATGGCGGCCAAATGCTAGAGCGGCTAAATGAGTTGCATCTAATTGAGTGACAAACACGCCACGAACAACGCAACACCACAACACCATTCTGAAAGGCCGCCACCTCTCACAAACTGTGCCAATTTGTTTTAAAATGCATCACCCCGGCGCTCAATCAACACCGGAACTCATCCCACTCCAGCAGCCCAATCCCATATGTCCAGTGCCTGGTCTCGACTGTTTTTCAATTTGCATGCAAGCGTAAATTACTCTCGGTTCGAGACCTCTTCTCCCCCTGATCCCTTGAAGAACTGTTCCTGCACCTCCCCCTTCTCCAACCCGCTGGTTGGTTAAAAGGTTTGTCCTTTGGTTACGTTCTATATGCAGATTGCCTTCGCTTTCGAGGACAGCTCCATTCTTCCTCCTCAACCTTTGTTGTTTTTGCCTTGCGGAATCTTGTGCCTGGCTGCTTTAAATAACTCGGCGTATCTTGGTTATGAACATAAAACACGTTTTTTGGCACCCCATTTGTCATTAAGCTACCAATTTGTTCGGCTTCAAAAACATCTCAAATTTCCGATCGATTGGCAAGAGGAGGGGCTCTGGAAATTAACAAGGTTAAGAGCCAGAAGAAGGAAGATCAAAAAGCAAGCGACGAGCCTGACGAGGATGTCTCAACGCCTGCCCCAAAAAAGGTAAACATATCTTGTAGATTGAAGTGTGTATAATGAAAATGTCTTCCTAATAAGTTAACAAATGTTTATCCATTTAAAATATAATCAAATTAAGGTCTTAAACCATTATAGTATAATATAAGAATGCATTTTGATGGGAATTTAAAATGAAAAATTCCAATTTGTTTTTGAATTTTTCAGTTTAGAAAATCATTTACTTATAGCAGTATTTAAGCCCTGAACTTTTTACCATAAAAAATTATAAAATATAAGTAAATCAATATATAACTTTTGATTTATAATTAATGTAGATATTTTCTTTAACTAGATCCTGTAAACTTAATAGCTGATCAGTGTCGTACTTTACTATTTGACAATCGCATATGCAGAAACTCCTAAGCTTAAAGGATTATATAATTTAAAAATCATAGAAATATAATCTAATAATGCTCTATAGCATGTAACGAATTTATTATTTAATTCAGGTTTTCTGAAGAGTTGACCCTCCACTTGCCTGGTTAAATAACTCCTATTTCCACATTTAATTTAAATTGCTCCCAACTTCATTTGACAGAGGCAGCTTGAACAATTTCACGGAAGCAGTTTTGTCTTCGTGTAGATATGCGCTCGATCCGTTCCAGACTGGGCTTTCAAAGGAAATGCAAACTGACAGCAGTTGATATAGTTTTGCGATCTGGGCGCCAGACATGTGTACGACTTGCATGCCTTAACAACTCGCCCGGTTACCCAGTTATTCGGAAAAAAAGTATATATCATTTTAATGATTTTACATGACTTCTTGGACATAACTTATGGTAGTTTACAACTTTTATTCCTATAGTATTAAAATATAAATATAAAATATCAAAATAATAATTAAGTATAATGGTAAATTTATTCCAACTTTTCGATCTTTAATTCTTTATGAAATAAATATTTAATTAACTAAAGCACGCTCATTGTTTATTTATATTTTCCCGTGTAGCTGTAGCTATCTACCCACTACCACAAAACCAAGCCCCATCGCAGCCAAAAGCCCTCCTTCCCAGTCGCTAACAATGTACAACAACTTGTAGAATGGCCATAACAATTATAAAACACGAACACGAGCCTCCAGCTGGGGCATGGGGGCAATGGAAAGGCAAGTGGTGAGTGGTGATGGGGATGGGGATGGGGAGCAGAGGGGCCATATCTGGGGAGACAGACTGCGGTTGGCAACTTGGATTACCATTACCACGCCGGGTCATCCAGAGAATTCTGCGACGAGCACTTGGCAGCATTCCCCGATGTCGTCGGTGTGTCGTGTATCTTTGGTGCGGTTTTCGAGGTGACAACTGCGACAGCTAAACGTCAATTTGTATAAATGTTTGCAATTGCCACCGATGCATCGGTTGCGGTGGAAACGGAATCGTTAAAAATAACACTCGCTGAATAAAAGCTGATCGATGCGGGGGTCGCACGTCTTCTCTATATCCATGGGATGAAGATGAAGAGTATCTACCAGATGCAGAGAGTGGAGCATGGAGCAGGGAGCAAGAGATGATGAGATGTAGAGAGAGAGAGAGAGAGAGAACAAATCATAAATAAATATTTGCCGGTTCCTTTGCGATTTGCATTTAACTCCGGCTGTCCGAGTATTTGTTGTTTGCCGTTCTGCCCCAAGTTTGTTGGCGTTTTTGGAGAGCGAATTCATCCAAACGAGTTTCGATTCGCATTTGGACTCGGATGTGGCTCCGTATCCGCGAGATACTCTTCCCGCGCCGCTCTTTGCTAATTGATTTATGAGATTGCAACTGCAGATGCCTCCAGCCACGCTCTTTCGCCACTCGGCCATAATGTTGGCTAAAATGCGTGCGAGCCATCGCATGAATATGCTGAAAATGCCCTAATGTAAGTTCTGTGAATACCATTGGTGGCCAATGGCCATATGATCGCATGCAGTAAGTATAAAGTAAGTGAGTTTTTAGAACGAATTTGCACTTAGGTGTCTGTCTACTAATTTTCAATTCTGATAAAATAAGATAAATCTGAGGTGGACATAATAAATACACTTTCAAGGACTGTGTTTTTTTTTCACGACGTGAGCTTAAAATAGCTGATTGCATTTGAAATTAAGCTGTATTTATACCCGTAGAGCAAAAGGGTATACTAAATTCGTTGAAAAGTATGTAACAGATAGAAGGAATCGTTTCCGACCCTATAAAGTATATATATTCTTGATTAGGATCAATAGCGAAGTCCATTGAGCCATGTCCATCTGTCCGTTCGTCCGTCCATTCGTCCGTCCGTCCGTATGAACGCTGAGATCTCAGGAACTATAAGAGATACAAAGTTGAGATTAAGCATGAAGATTCTTGGGGTCCCTACGCAGCGCAAGTTTATCAGCATCCTTCCACGCCCTCTCTAACGCCCACAAATCACGAAAAACTAAAACAACTCATTATGTGTAATCTTTAGATGCCAGCGCATCTTATAGTGGTACTTTTATCCGGTCAAACCCACCCATATGCCTACCAAGTTCAAAGTTTCAAAGTTCTCAAGTTTCACATTTTTTAGAAAAGCTGATATTTCGGTAACTATAAGTGATAGAAAGTTAAGCATGCAGGCTTTTATGATGCCCCTTACGCGAATTGCGAATATCCGATCAAGCCACGCCCACTTTAACGCCCACAAAACCCGAAAAACAAAAATGCAAAAATCTCGGGAACTATTAAAGCTAGAAAGTTTTGCTTAAGAATTAGTATTTAAAAGATGGCACTGCAACTTGCACCTAGTTTTCAACTGGCCACGCCCACTCTAACGCTCACAAACCGCGAAAAGCTGTGGCGTCTATAATATTATTATGAATGCCTTCCTTTGACCTTGTATACCTTATTTCTGTCAATCTCTATCGATTTACCAAAGATTTTTCAAATCGGAACATTATTTCGCTTTAAAAAGCCTCACATGGGCAGTGATCCGATATCCGACAATAGGTGGCGTTTGAAAATTTCCATTAGCAAAATGAATATTTTAAAATTGTGTAAAACAGTAACGGGTATCAATAAAGTTCCTCTTTCTATGTGTCTTCAGAATCCCTAAAAGATTGGCAAAGTGCAGAAGGACCTCAAAAGATTACCATAAAAAGAGTGTAGTCTTAATAATTATTATCTTTAATTTATGTCCTTATTTAATAAAATCTATAATATATAATAATATCTTAGTTCATCTCTCAGCTACAGATATTAAAATTACGCAAATTAACCTACTGTTCTTCATTTAGTTAAAATAAAATATTTGAATATTCCTTTGTTGAAACAAAATTGGTTGAGCTTAATGCCATTATTGACTCAGCTGATGATGTTTATCCTGAATCCTGAGTTAAGTGTTAATTTTTCTTTCGAATAAATGAGATAAAGTTGTAAGAGGCGAAGTTAAAGGAACAAATACAATGTAGAAATATTTAAAAAGAAGTGAAAAGTTTTCCCAACATTAAGTTAAGTGAAATTTGTTGTAAAATCGTTTCCCCGTTTTTTGCATTTTTAAATTTTGTACTTATTGATTTCAACTCTCATCCCATTGGCATTACAAATTTATGAAAATCAAAACAATTAATAATGTCTTCAAAACAGTATTTAGTTATCAATCAAATGGGGTCGGGAAAGATGAATATTATTTTCATAATTCCTGACGGCTGAACCATAATTTCCACTTCAATTTTACCAATGAGAACCACTACCGAAAAGGGCGTCCAAGGCTCTTTTCATAACCATTGTACTGGACTGCATCAATCTTTCGAGCATTTTTGGAGAATCGTTTTGGGAGTTGCGTGCATCGCCGCGGGGGAAAGTAACCTTTAATGGAGTCGAGCTTCGGTGCAATTATCTTCGCCGGACTGAATAAACGATCCTGACTAATATAACGGCTGACGATGAAAGGGGACCTTTAAATGTGATAAATGCGAGTGCGACACACGCAAATCGGTGTGTCTGAAGGTGGCATAAATATTCGGAGCAGGCCGAAGCCCAGCTGAGTGGTCGACCTATATCGTCGGCTGGCTAGACGCTGAAACCCGCTTTGATTCTCCCCATATCTGGAGCTTCTTCTTCTTTCTTCTCTCGCCCCAGAGAATCAAAGAGCAAGAGAAAGAGGGAGAGTCGGGAGTGCAAATTTACGATCAACACATGCAGGCGGGGACGTCAATGCACGGCAACAAAGTTGCTCCACTCGAGTTTCTCGCAGAGATTTGCGACCAAACACATGCTGATTCTAAAGAGAAAATCTCTCAGAGCATAAGAGCAGGGTTTTCAGCGTTTTCGCTCTTTGCAATTGGGGCAATTGCACTTTTCGCTCTCAAAGACCCGTTTCTCTCATTCGCTCTCTTTCTGCCAAGATGCTTTCGCTTGAGTTCTCCGAATGCCAATCTTTTATCGAGCTTATTAGCTTGCTGAAAGAATTGGGTAAATAATAATTTTTGTTTTTTGATTATATAGAGTAATGACTGGCACTACCCTATATAATCATAAAAAAACAAATACAATAACATACTTACATAAAAAATATTAAATTGTACTTTATTATTACTTTAAAAATTGACCAAAATTAGAAACAGTGTCTTATCATTAAGAAAAATTGCTTTTGTGATTGATTTTAGTTAAAACCACGGAAATATCTCATAAGTATGCAATAAATTTTGAAAAAAGGATATAAGTATACGCAGGGTAACTGAAATTATTTGTAACATACTTTTAAGCACAATATTTCTTATACATTATAAGATACTAAGCTAAGCCTAGATATAAAAATGCATTTAAAAGAATAAGATAATTTAAATGTTATTAAATAAAATAATCAACAGAATAAATCAATCATACGTTTTAGTTTCATTGGCTTTCAGTTTTATATATAGTCTTTTTTATGATAAGCTGTTGTTATTTGTACCTATTTAACAAAAAAAATAAAAACAACAGATGAAGGGCTTAAAAACTTGGACGACACCTAAACTACAGTAAACATGTTCGAAATTTAACTTTAACTTACTTTTTACCCAAACCCTAAAATATATGATTATATGCAGAACATCCAGCAGTCATCATGCGCGACGGTTGCGACCGCAAATCGTTGCTTTTTTTGCGGTGCACCAGAGTGCAAATAGCAAGAGCATGGCGACGTCAGTCGGTGGGCCCGACTCTGTGCCAGAAACACATGCTCAGTTTTGGGTCCGCCCGTCCGCCTGCAAGTCCGTCTAGCTGTCCGCTGGCTTTTGGTTTGGTAGTCGGACTGGTACTGGTCCGGGTGCTAGTGCGAGTATCGAGCCCAGAGCTTCGTGGCTCCGCAACCAGTTTGCTGGCACCGATCGTCCTTTGCACGTCGTGCACGTCGGGTCTGTTGCGTCTTGCGCGCGTCCGCGTTCCGTGCTCGAACTCGCAATCTCAACCCCAACAGAACTGGAGCGGAATCAGGTCCAAAATTATGTGCGATAGTTTTTTTTAGTTTGTTAGTGCAAAGTCCGAAAATATCTCTAGAATGCGCGTACCTACAGGCAACCAAATCGAAACGCGAGTGCAATGCTAAGCGAAGTTGTTTGAGGACACAGTTTGTACGGTTTTAAGATAACAAATACGAAATAAATACATTTTACCGGCTCCACACTCTCACTCTCGGTCTCATCCGACTGCTCCGCTTCGCTCTGTTCCGATCCGATCCGATCCCATATCACATACGATCGTACTGCCCGTATGATCTCTTGGTCCGCTCCGAGTGCTTCTTCTCTCACACCGCTTGCATAACCAAGAGCAGAAAGCAAACAGCGCGGAGGCAGATTGCTGATGCAGATACAGATACTAGTGCGTCTAGTAGTGGACCTGCAGCTACTTTAGTGAGTTCATGCAATTGGCATTGTCTCCCGTTGGTAAGTGAACAATGAGTTATGACCGCTCTGCTACCAAAATGTACAACCTCCGCTCCCCGGAGCTCCGACTTGCCACCCCTTTTGCAAACTTTGGGGGCGTTGCAAACTGCCTTGTAATTGCCTGACATAAATGCTCGTGTGTACAAGGCTTAATGGTGATAGCGGCAGGTACGCTCTGCGATTACCATCTACAACTGCGGTACGTCGTCTCTCTGGTGCGGTAGGATAGGAGGGATAGGTGGTGAGGCGGGGTACGGGCCATTGTCTCACTTCCAAATTGAACAGGAAACGAGCAACAGGTCGTGTTTTACAGCAGCACTCGAAAGATTCCAGCATAGCGCCATGGGATTCTCAGACACCATTAGGATAGTGCCCAGGTATTTGCATTTGCAATTTCGATTGCGGAGGCGGTGATCGGTGATGGGTGCTTATAAGGCAAATTGGACCAAAGTCTGAATGGTTATGAGGGAAATGCAAATGGAAAACGGCAATTGCGGAAACTGACTTGCTTAAGACTACACAGCAAGGCCTGAGAATTGGTATTCAAATGAAAGTTCAACCCAAGCCGGTTTTTGTCACTAGCAAAGCTGACCATCGATTACGATCCACGAGGTTCTACACTAATAAAAATACAATTTTTATTTCATTCAAGTACTAGCCTGAACTTTTATTAAACTAGCTATTAAGTTTAGCTTCTAATTTAGTATTGGATGCAAACTAACAAGACTAGTTTAATAAAGTTTAAATTTATTGGTACATTGAAGCTAAGCAAGACAATTTTTCTCAACTTTAGTACCAAAACAATGAAATTATGAATGTAATGTTTATATTACCAAATCAAAAAGGAAAGTCAAAGCCATTTGAGTATTCAACCTAATGCTTGCCATTACTATTCTGTTACTTTCAAGTACCAAAATTACTTTTCTTTCACTGTCGTAAGCCTCTTTCCTCATTATTCCCATTTAAAGAAGCTTCTTTTGTCGTTTCTAATAGTTTTGAAGGCATTTCTCTGAGTGCAAAGTCATGATGATCTTGGCATAGTCAATATATTTTGTAGACTGCACCTTACTTGCAATTATCATATAAACGACTTAAGGCGCTTTTGCCATTTATAACGCAAACTTGCCCTTGGCCCATTAATAACCTGAAGTGGATTCTTATCGGGATCCTTCCGCTTTAGACAAATTAATTGGGCATATATGCACATTGAGCCTGCCGTCTCTTATGCTTACCTGTAATCAATTTTAATCCGCTTTTGAAAAGCCGTTTCCCTTGATACTTTGCATTTTCCCCCCACTAACGCAGCCGTCATAATTAGCAAATATTGAATTGCCATTCAGCTGATAGGCCCCAGGGTGTTTCTCTTTAAGTGGTTCTGCGAAGCAAGTCTTTCTCTCAGCGACTCTCCGCAAATTAGAGGCGACATGCAAGATAAGCGATCGTGTGCAATGTTTAAATACAGAGGCAAAAGTAACAACATTTTGCCGTGGCCACCGGGGAGGCGGTGGAAGAAGGTGGGCGGGTATCTGGTGCTAGCACGAAATGTGAGACCCGTTATCAGCACATCTTTCATGCTCAATTTCCCCTCTGTTTTAATACAGGGTATTAATTCTTTAGACTCAGAAATTAAGTCATTATGACTAACCGAAAATTGAGGCAGCCAAACATTTCATACCACTTAGCAAATTGGCTGAAATTATGTATCACCAGGGGCCTTTCTTTTTTGTCACATTTCTTTTCCCTCTTATCTCCCAGCCGTTCGGTTCTAATCAATCGTCAAACATTTTCAAATGTTAGTACGTACAAGGCAAGTTCAATGAGTCACCCTAAAGTCAAACTAAGTGCAAATTAGATTAAACACGAATTAAACACGCCTGCAGCTGCATGGAAAATAGATGCGTATGGGTAGTTGAAATTTGAAATTCCCTTTCTCATGAATAATTATATTTTAATTTATTAAAAAAAATATATTACAAAATATATGCAAATTAAAATTAATTATTATATCTAGAAAATCAAAAAAGTTTCTTTACAAATCCTCCATTTTCTAAACTAGTCCACAACACAACTTAAATTTAATAAAAATATATTTTTTCATCTGCATACCGACCTTTATAATAATGTTGTCCATGTAATAGCCTGCATAATAAACTAATTTATCACCTCATGCGGACACTTTAACCCTTGTTCAATTAAACACGTGGTAATATTTCATCAAAACAGCAGTTTAAGCTGTCAAATTTTAAATACGAATATTTTTACATAATATTGAAATAGCTTTCTCTTAAACTTCTCATAAATTTAAAGTAAAACTGCATTGTTAAAAATAATTAAAATTACATTAAACTTCATTGTTAAAAATTCAACCTAGTTAGATAAGAAGTGTAAAAACCAGATTTCACGGCTATATCTCTAACGAAAACCCAGTTCTAGAGGCCCACTTGGTATTGTTATCGACTATATAGAAAATAATGAGAACTTCTTTGCACAAGCCGCTGAAAGACCATAATACCCGGGCGCTATCTGCAAATATGCACATCACTCATACGCCCTTTAGAACGAAGAAATAACCAAAACAAATCCCATAAAACTGGCAGCACAAAGCGGGCGAGCAGAAATGCAAAAAGCACAAAAGCAATTAAGCAAGGCGGAAGGCGAAGCTAAGTCGGGCGCACTGCAACGCGATCGAACTGCAACTCGAACTCAAACGAGTTGCAAGCCGACTGCAACCGGCAACACCACTACACACAAGTGCAGCGAAAGCAGCAACACCAACGAAACAACAAGAACAATACCAACAGCAACAACAACGATGACGGGATTCAACCAGCCAATGTGTGTGAGGCTGCCTATGTACTAGTCCCCTCGGTCCGTATGTATTCGCGTGTGTGCGCTGCATGTGCGATTGCGACGATGTATAGGTGTGCAGCCCCCACATTTCTCCAAATGCACGCAGCGTTGTCGTTGTACAGTGGTTCCTAAACATGGGGGATTGTTTAAAAAGTAATCGATTATAGCACAGAAGAGGTTTAAAAACGTAAGGAAAGAATTTCAGAAAATTAATAATATATAAATATTAAATAATTGGTTTGACGAATTGTGATTTAATAATTGTAATTAAAATAGGAACAAATTATGTTAATAAAGTGGCATCATCTAATTTATTAAGACATCTATCAAATTGGTAGTAAAGTAAAAAAAATAATCCAGAGGGTTGCAGGTTTATCGAAGTTTTCTGCTTCTACAAAATTATAATTTACATCTGGTTTTAGCTGTCCAGTTACAGTAAACAGCCTTAAAGATAATATAGTTTTTTTGGATTAAATTATGAAAATTATATTTAGTTAATTTAACTATTTTTGAAGAATATTACACGCAAAACGTTCGTTACAACCAATTTAAACATCAACCAAGCATCGCAGGATTTACAAGGACTTTTGGTCCACTGTGGCATGGTTTGGTTGCGCTGCTCTTGCTCTCTCGATGCGATTTTCGGTTCCGTTTCGTTGGCGGTGCCCGCTTCCACGCAAACACAGCCAAACATCGAACAACCACACATACATTGGCACACATACTGACACATCCGCGGGCCGGGGCACCAATACAATGCCAATACTAGCGCACTCGCCGACCGCTGTGCTCGGCGCTTTTGAGTTCTTTGCATCCGCGTCTTGCGGCCCAATGTGAGTTGCCTTGTGCATGCCAAAGATTTCAGATCGGTCAGCAGCAGCAGTAGCAGCAGCAGCACCAGAAGCGAAAAAGCTCGGCTCGCGACTCGCGGAACGTTTTTAAGAAGTTGTTACGGATAAATACCAGATCTATTATACCGGCCCTATGAATATTGATTTTTGCACGTTACTATTCGTTGCTGAGTTAATCGGCCAACTGGACTGAATTCGCATTCTTCAGCAGCGCGCGTTTCACCGGCGGCTTTTCGCAAGGCAAACGCGATCGTGCAACACTTTTAGTGTGATTTTTTGTTTGTTGTGTGGCGACAATTAATTGATATTTTAATGCATACAGCTAAGAGTTACTGTATAATTGGAATTGTGGCAAACCAGTGTTATGTGTGAAATTCTTTAAAACCTAAATCTACCATTTATTCAACTATATCATCAAAAGTAATCCTACAAATACACCATATAAGCAAAAAGTTGACTTTATATCAAAATTAAATGAGAATATTTATAACGTATTTTTAAATATTTATCAAAGTACGAGTATTTTTAAATTAAAATATAAAATCATTCAACTTACATATACGCTAAACAGGTAAATTAACGAAGGACATCAAGTTTCAGTTTTAAAATAAAGTTACTATTTCCAAAACTGATGAACTGATGAATTCAATACATTGGAAGTTTTAAAAACTTATATTCAATTTATAAATTTTATAAATTAGAATTTCGTTTATTAAATAAATTTCACACTCTGTGATAGAAAGGCGATAATAGAATTTATTATATTTTACTTTAATACAATCTGATATATATAATTTGAAGAATTTTAATGTCAAATTTAAAATTAAAAAACGGTCTTATTTTGAAGGAAGTGACAAAATCAATTAGAGGTGGAATATGTAGCAATTAATGAATCAACTTTAATTAGAAAATGATTATCTGTCATTAAAGATTGTTTCTTATTTCTTATTTGAAAAGGTGTTGACTTATTAAAGTTTATTAATCTTAATAAACTTCAAAACAGATTAATATGTCAAAGTATTCCTTTTCAAAGCTGTTTAATAGAACATTTATGTAAATTCCAAAATATTTCTATAAAATATTAATATGAACATTTATATTAATATGTAAAATTCCAGAAGATTTTACGGAAACTTTTTATGCCCTAGCTTTGCTATGTAATTCTTAGCAATTCAAATAATTTTTAAATATATTTTAACGACTCTTAATTAAACGTATTACGTAAACGTTTCTACGAATTTTTCAAACGGTTACTAAGCAAAAAATACCTGATAAGATTTATAGCTTTCCAATTTATAGAGTCAAAAGTCAAACCATAATTCCACACTCTCCATAAAGATATTTGCGCATCCATCAGATCTGCTTGAGACAGAATTATATGACACATTGACGAATTTATTACTTCTATCAATACAATGTATCTACATGTTCGACCCCGCCTTCAAGCTGTTTCTAATATCCAATAAGAATCTAAACTGTGTGTTTATATGTGAAAAAGGCGTGGCCGATCGAATCAAAGTAAATTATAATACTTTATTGCTTTATAACATGCCATATTCCACGGCCAATCGAAATAAAGTTTCACTGTCATTTATTATTTAAATTTTATTTATTAGTGACCTTTACTCCAAACTATTGAAACACTTGCTAGCGTTAAAAATACAAATGTAAATTGTTTGTTGGCCAAGCATGCAAAAAATAAGGCAAAACAAAATATCTCAATCGTTAATAAATATTTGGGATTGTTTCTCAGTATGGCTGTAGATGTTTAAAAATAGTCTGGATCTTGAGTGGGAATTTGTTTACTTATTAGCAATAATCATTTTATACTTCTTCCCCAAAATTTATAATTCACTTAACACTAAACATGAATATCTTCTCTTTGCAGGTGCTTACTGAATACTGAAAAGTGAAACATAAAGTTTTATATTTCCTAATAATCTCTAGACAAAGATAAACTCAATATTAATCAAATCAAGATTTAGTCGCAGCTTGAATATTTAAAACTTCAAATAAACAAGAATTCAACTAAAATAAACATTTAAATGTTAATCTATTAAAAAGAGCCAAGTGATTAATCTAGAAACACCACTTAATCGAACCTAGAAAATGCTACTAAAACTAGCTTAAAGCACTTAAAAGTAAACTTGGACTCTCGAACATTTATCTAGGATATCAGAAATCGCAGACATGGTTTCGGAGGAGAACTGGAATAGTGACACGATGTCCGACTCGGACATGATCGACTCAAAGAACGACGTGTGTGGTGGAGCCTCAAGCTCTAGTGGCAGTTCCATTTCACCCAGGACTCCGCCTAACTGCGCCCGCTGCCGCAATCATGGCCTGAAGATCACCCTGAAGGGACACAAACGCTATTGCAAGTTCCGATACTGCACATGTGAGAAGTGCCGTCTGACAGCGGACCGACAAAGGGTGATGGCCTTGCAAACGGCCTTGAGGCGAGCCCAAGCACAGGATGAGCAGCGGGCACTGCATATGCACGAGGTGCCGCCCTCTGGTTCGGCTGCCACAACTCTGCTGGGCCACCATCATCATGCAGCTGCTCCTGCCCATGTCCACGCCCATCATGTGCATGCTCATCATGCCCACGGACACCATTCGCATCACGGTCACGTCCTGCACCATCAACAGGCAGCAGCGGCAGCAGCAGCCGCAGCAGCAGCTCCGTCGGCTCCACCCTCCCATCTTGGTGGCTCCACTGCAGCTTCCGCAAGTCTTCATGGCCATGCCCACGCTCACCACGTTCACATGGCAGCCGCTGCAGCCGCCTCGGTGGCTCAACACCAGCACCAGAGTCACCCACACTCGCACCACCACCACCAGCACCACCATCAACATCCGCATCAACAGCCACCCCCACAGCAGACCACGCTGCGATCTCCGCCGCACAGCGAGAATGGCGGAAGTGTTGGTCCGGCCAGTAGCAGCTCGGGCGGTGGAGCAGCCAGTTCCAGCAATGCGACAGCGGCAACCTCGAGCAGCGGATCTAGCAATGGTGGCGGAGGTGGTGGAGGCGGAGGCGCCAGCTCGGGAAATGGAGCCGGAGGGGGCAGGTCTTCTGGCACCTCGGTGATCACAAGCGCCGACCATCACATGACCACGGTGCCAACGCCCGCCCAGTCCTTGGAGGGATCCTGCGACTCGTCCTCGCCCTCGCCATCGTCCACTTCCGGCGCCGCCATTTTGCCGATCTCAGTTTCCGTCAATCGCAAGAATGGCGCCAATGTGCCCTTGGGTGAGTGAACTTTTATTACACCTTTACGTTTATGAATATTTAAGAAATTTACATTTCTGGAAATGGGTTCGTTTTTATAAGGAAAACGAATATGACAAACTAACTACCGACCATATATAGTTGAAACATAAGAAATGTTACTACATTGTACGCTTATGTAATCAACAATTCAAGGATAATGAAAATATAGAATACTCAACGATTATTTGAAATTATAACGTAACATTACTTCTTATCATCTTTGATCTGCGTAACGTAAAAATCTTTATGAGTGAACTAATAGTTATATTTACCTTAAGACCTTATTTAACCTTATGAATATTTGATTGGTTTTAAAGAGTTCTCAATTAAAAAGCTAAACAAGAACAAGTAAGAAATAAATGAGCATTTATTTAGTTTATACCCTTCACATTAAATTAATTCAATTTTGTGTAAGATCAATGATGTTCTGATTGTGAGTGATCTTGGTTCGGTCGATTAGATTTAATTAGGGTCATGTGCTATGTTGGATGGTCATAAAGGGTGTATGATGAATCGTGTAAGCTCCCTAATCTGTGATCTTTGCAAGTATCTAGCCATATTTATGGCTCATTTAGTAAAGTGCAGAGGAAAAATTGAAAATGAAAATCACAAAGAAAATTGCACAGCATTTTCATCCTGGCCCTCTACACACATACACACACTCTCAGGCACAGGGAGAGGAGTCTGGCAAGGAGTGGCCGTGCATCTCGCGCCTCTAAATGATTGCCACCTAATTATAGGCCGCAAATGCCGCCGCTGGGAGCAACGAGGACAGATCCATGAAACCATGCGGCGTCTCGGCACGTACCATAGGCATCTGGGGCAGAGACGCCTTCGACAGAAGGCCTAATCAAGTTGTTGTTGTTGTACTCGGAGCCCAGACTAGTAAATAACAAATGAACCCAGAAGGAATGGTATTGGGAAACCGAATCGAATTCTAGATACCCATTGCAAAAATGCGTTGATAATTATACATAAAGTACTTTGTACTTAGAAATCAAAATTAATTTATTTTAAGGAAAATAAACCCCTTTTAAACCCTGAAGAATAAGAACTTAAATAGAGTTTCTTAAATACTCTTATAAAATAATAAGCATTGAAATCATTTAAGTTATGGACTATAAACTTGTAAAGTCTAAAAGAACATACATATTCCTAGCTAGGGTTAGGGTAAATTATGCATTAAATGATGGCCCTTCGAGTATGTCTCCGCAGATAAACATAATTAACATGTTTAATTTGAAATATAAATAAAAACCCTTTATTCTCCTAACTATGAACAATGTTATAGTCCGCTAAATGCAAAGTTGCGAGGCCAAGGCCCTGCACGAGCCAACGAAATGCCTGGAAAGACAGGCATAGTGGCGTCGGTGACGGCCCATGAAATAATCAATTAACGTGGGTACACAGAGCTGTCAGCAGTTGACACCTGAAGGCACCAGTGCCGCCTATTCTTTATTAAGTGATTTGATCGTGCGATCTTAAAGCAGTTAGGATTAATTTATGTGTGCAAAAAATACCCATTTGCTATGTTATTAATGGAGAGTTATTAATGATAAACCTTTTTTTCTTGGGTTTTTCAGGAATGGTTTTAAAACAAGACATTTTAATTCACTGAACCTTGATTATAGACTTCTGAAAAATAGTTTAGTTTACGTGCTTCGGTTTATCTTGCATTCACTTAGGATCTTATAAGATAGCTACACCCTCAATGCAAGAAACCATTTTCATTTCACTTTAGCACATAGTCCCTGCTTTTAATCTTGTGCACACACGTAAATGAAGAAAAACGAGCCTTTATGAATAATTCCCTTTGTTAGGTAAGCTATTATATACTTTTTTCGACGATTCCTTTCGGACGAATTGTTCCCAAGAACTAAGAATGGCCGCATCTAAGGGCCACTTGATATTAAAGCTCATTAGCAGCTTGATTCCGTCCGAGAGGGTGTTTTGAATCCGTCGAATCAGGTGCAATGAGGACCAACCAACGGTCGGCTGACCACGTTCTCCTAATTGCCTCTCGGCATACAACGTGGCATACGAATGCAGCATAATCTGTGGACAATTACATGCAGACCTGTCAAGCCAATCCAACATGACCATCCATCAAAGTGCTAAGCAGGCATGAAACCTTTTCACAGTTGCAGTTTTCCAGTCGTCGATGACTTCTTTATGTATAGTATTACCAGAGCGTAATGGCATCCAGACATGGATCGGACATTACAGCGATCGTTTAGCATAAGTGCAGACAATACGACCGATGTCTGTCAACTGCAGGCAGTTCGTCAATCAATTGAACACCGCTTAAGCGCTTCTAGCTCCTCTAGCTCTTCCTGCTCCTCCAGCTCCTCGAACTCTTTCCGCACACCCGTGATTCCGTGCTCCTCGAGTGTCTCTCCAGTAGCCAGGTTGTGGCCCCGATGTCTACAAACGTGTAAACTTATTCGTAATCTCGATCGCCGGCACGGAGTTAACTAACCCGTCTTCAAACAGGAACCGAGATCGGGTTTTCTTCGCTTTGGCTAGCAACTTTGTTGCAAATTTTCCACCAAGTCTCGCCGAAAACAGGTCGGTTGGCTCATTAGTTTGGCCTGCTGCCCACACTGGCGCTGCCCGACTCCGGAATTAGTCATGCCGGCTGAGAGTCACCTCTGGTAGATGCGAGGTTATACACTTGGCACTTTTCCCTCTGGATCTCCCGTCTTCGTTCATCCAGCACTTTTTCCAGCACTAGCCGTATCATTTTGTCATTAATTCTGATGGGTATCATAACCTATCGATAATAGCTGAGTGCCCATATAGTAGAACAATCTATTGCTCTAGTGCCTGTTAGGCATTCTTCTCGAGAGGCTTTTCTACATTTTCTACATTCGAGATAATTGCAGAAACCTTGGGTTAGGGTCACTTTAATTCGATTAGTGATTTTTAAACATCTAGATCAACTAGTATGTGATTTGGTTAGCTTTTAGTTGGGAATATAGTTTCCTCTTATAAGTGGATATAGATTCCTTGAATGGCAAATGTAATCAGTGTAGAACCTGAATTATATTTTCCTTTTTACGTAGGTTTATCCAAATAAAAATAAACAATTTAGAGTAATAATTTTTCACTTTAATAAATTGTAATTCAACGTGTTCCTCATAACATTTTTAAAACGACGTACTTAGATTTCCTTTATGTATGAAAATTTAAATATTTTGACATGAAATGAAATTAAATGTAGACTAACTAACTAACCTAAATGCTTAACTACATAACACCAGATTTACATAACGACATAAAAACAGTCAGGGCATTAAAACGAAAACAACTTTTTGAGTTTTTAATAAAAATATATATAAAAATGGTAGGACATAAAACTGGAAAAGCTTCATGTTGGATAAGAATCAGGCTGTGGTAGCGTGCCCACAAAGTCAAGGTGACCATGACCGGCAATCGATAAACTTCGACTTCAGTTAATTAATTTAATGGGCTGTGCTAATTTCGGTCTCTTAAGACAGGCAGCGCTCTTGGCCAGGCCCAAAACAGTCCCTGGCCCAGACCATCTTTCAGTTGTCTGTCTAGAACATTTAGTGCCGCCAATTCGGTTGAAAAACAAAAACTTTGCTGCGCTCGTAAAATAAAGTTGTAAAATGTATTTTTGGTACATACATAAATATATATATATATATATATATGTATACCATACATTTTGGCCGATTTTGTTTTCGATTTCGTTTCAAATGGCTCCCAAACTGGAGAGCGTAGTTTGCATTTTTATTATTGCTCATACTCGTATTTGAGAAATGTGCTCGGGAGCACAGTGCTTGGCAGCTTTGACAGGTCATTTGGCCGGATAATTTACGAGATTTCCAGTTAATATGCTGGCATTACTTTTAATACTCTTTGCCGGACTTTGTTCGCTTTGAGCCTGGCAGCCCGGTCCGGGCCGGTTCGGTCTATGGCAAGTCGGGATTATACTTCGCCCGGAATGGAGCTTAATTATATGGCCAGAATCTATCCTGGAACAGACCACAAAAATAATTTTGTTCAGCACGAACAATAAAAATATGGTTTTCTTTTTTTCGCAATTAAAGTTGTTTTTACGAGCAGAAAATTAGTGTAGTCGAAGTTCGCCGACTGGCCTCTGGACCCTTTAGAAATAGCCCTAAACACGCGGCAGCTGCAGTTGATAAAGCTATAGGGCTAATAAGCTCAAGTATTCCTTGTTGGCCGTGTTTACAACCTGCTAAAGTCATTTGCATCGCAATACAGGCATAATCAGCTCTCATCCGCAAGGCACCAATTAGAGGGCTCTCAACGAACCCAGCCCCCTTTTTTCTCAGCCCAAGTTCTAAGCCCTTTTTGGTATTCAATTGGCGATAATTTTTCAAAATGCGGGCCATTAAATTTCGCACTTGCTTTTTTACACAACCAAGCCGTGAAAGCAGACCCCCAAAAAAACAAAAAACGAAAATTAGCATGTGTGAAGATTCAACGGCTTTTTAAGTGACTGAAATTATGGGGTGTACGAGTGTTACAAAAAGTTAACAGATCCTCTGCACGCAAAGAAATATTAAGACTTCATTTTTCTTCTACCCTTAAAACTTAAAATATTTAACATAGCATATTTAAAAAATTTTACATCTTACCAAAAAAAAAATACAATTCAGTTTTTCCTGTTTTTCAGTTTTAACTCATTTCTGAAGTTATTAAACTTGTTTCACTGTGTAGACCTCAGAGATCGGAAGCTTGACCAAATGAGGCAACGCGAGAAGCAGAGTCACTAATTAAATAAGCTGAGTTATTCACTAAAATCAGACATTAGCTGCGAGTAAGGCATTTTCGAAGCCATTAAAAGTAAATACGTGCATAGTGTTGACAAGATCAGGAAAAGTGCGAAGGATGGTTTGATCACGCCTTGGTCTTTTTATACTTATTATCAAAATAGTTAGGCTGAGTACTTTAAATAATTGTTCCTCCCGGCTAGGTTCTTTGCC